AAAAAACCCAAGAGGTTTCTGTGTAACTTTATCAGAAAGGGGGCCGCCAAAAAGGCGTACCTGTCAGTAACACTCGAAGGTGTCCTCACACACGAAGCACTCTTGGACGGTGGGGCAGACATAACAATTATGTCAGCTAAACTGTTCGAGGAGCTGAGGACGGCCGCTGCCAGTGTTAACAGGATAATACCTCTCTCTGAATGTGCTATAGAAATGCAGGGTCTCTCGGAGAATAAAACAACCCTGACAGCTATAGCAATGGTTCACATGCAGATTGGCAATATGACACTGTACCACCCGGTACACGTGACCCATGTTGACTCATTCCCATTTTTGGTTGGCCAGGATTTTATAAATCGCTTTAACGCGATTATAGATTATGGTGATCAAATAATGTGGACAACAGTGAGCAAACCACTGCCAATAGAAACGCCTCCGGAGTGTGACACAGACTGCCCAACAGCAGGTACCGCGGAAGGCACAAAGGACTCCTCAGCCGAGGACACGAGCCCGGTGAGTACTCCTCTGACACCATGTGAAACCAAAGAAACCCAAGTGGTCCAAACTCTGACTCAACAAGACAGCCTCCTCTGTGAGCTGGAACAGTCAGAGTCCACCAAACACTACCTACCACTGGTAGTTAAGGGTGTAGAGATCCAAGGGTCCCACACCAACGATGCTGTACTGTCTCTGTGGACAGATAAATCAGCAATTAACCGAGCTTTCTACGAAACCTTGGTTCACAAACACGTTGGTCTAGAACTAATTAAAAAAGCTTTCCGCTTTCCATTAGTTCCCAATAGTTCACAGGTAATGACCGCAGAAGGAGTCATTAACCTAAAACTGAACTGGAATCAACGAGAACTGGTTCACCCATTTCTCGTTATCCAAAACTTACCACATGCATCCTACATAGGCTCTGACATTTTGGTAAGGTTAGGTGTTCACGTGGACACCATCAACAAGGTGCTGTGGTCCCTCAAACCAGCCACAAAGGATACTCCTGTGCTAGACACAGTGAGCCTTAAGGCTGGGCAGACCATTCCAGAGGCCTGCCAAGTTGCTAGCAACCAAGACACCACAGTACCACCTCAGGTGCTTAACCTAATGGTGCGAATCCACATAATAGCTGGACAAGCTATTAGCCATAAACAGGCATATTTTCAACCCTCTCCTGCATTTTTCAACTTGGGACTGTCCGTGGAAGCCACGAACCAGGTGAGTCTTGACTCCAGGACCACATCTATTGCTGTGTGTAACACTGGCATGGATGAGGTGCTGATCCCAAAAAAGACTATGCTAGGATGGTTGATTTCAACTGACTTTCATGATTTTGAACTAGGCATTCCATTTCTGGGAGGACTCCCAGACAATCTGGTACCGAGTCAAGAAGCTGGGCCAGTATGGTTCACAAAACCAACACAGGCCATAGCTCTTTTCTCAACCAATGATGTCGACCAAGGACCTCAAACCTATGGTGTCTTACCCATAGACAGGCCCGACGACTCAGAAAGGGATTCATTGGAGCTCCCCAAGGAGCAAGAACCCTTAACAGTCTCATCACAGATTGATCAGGTGGTCGCCCAAGCCGACGCTCTGACATCTGATGAAGAAAGAGACAAACTACGCCAAGTTCTTCTAAAATATGAAAAGTCATTCTCAACTGATTCAACAGATTGTGGGTTGACCTCACTCCACGCAGTGAGAATCCCAACCCCACC